TGTGGGTTTGTCATATGTGGACTTTATTACATTGAGGTATTTTCCTTCTATACCACTTTGTTGAGAGATTTTTAAAAAAATAAAAGGATGCTTTATCTGCATCTATTGAGATGATCATTTTGTTAATGTGGTGCATTATGCCACTTAATTTACAAATGTTGAACCATTCTTAAATCCCTGAGATAAATCCTTTCAATGTATTATTTAATCCAGTTTGCTAATATTTTGTTGAGAATTTTGCCATCTATGTTCAAGGATATTGATCTATAACTTTCTTTTTTTATAATGTTTTTGTCTAACTTTGTCTAGATATCAGGGTAATGCTGGCTTTGTAGACTAAGATTGCTAGTGCTCTTTCCTCTTCAAATTTTTGAAATAGTTTAAGAACAAGTATTAGTCATTTAAAAAACAAACAAACACATTTTTAATGGATTTCAGAGAGGGAAGGGAGAGGGAAAGAGAAACATCAATGACAGAATCATTGATCAGCTATCTCTTTTACACCCCCTACTGGGGACCCAACCATGTGGCATTAACTGGAATCGAGCACAGACAGGACCCTTTAGTCTACAGGCCAATGCTCTATCCACTGAGCAAAACTGGCTAGGGTGCAGTTATTACTTCTTTAAATGTTTAGTAGAATTCACCTCTGAAGCCCTCTGATCCTACAGTTTAATTTTAAGAGGTCCATCCCTACCCACTACCCCATTTCAATTTCATTGCTAGTAACTTATCTGTTTAGATTTTCTTTATCTTCCCGGTTCTGTCTTGGAAGGTTGTATGTGTGCTTTCAGAAATGCATCCATTTCTTCCAGACTGTGGCATTTTTTGGCATATATTTTTTTCACAATATTCCTTAATTATTCTAAAGTATTTCTTTGGTGTCATTTGTAACTGCTTTTTGTTTATATATTTCAATGGGTTCTCTTTTTGGCTTGATGAATTTACCTAAAGGTTTGTCAATTTTGATTGAAAGAACCAGCTCTTACATTATTTTCTTTTTCTCTCCCCCCCTCCCCCCCATTTCGCTTATTTCTGTTCTGATCTTAATCTCTTTAGGTTTTGTTTGTTCTTTTTTCTAGTTCCCGAAGGTGTAAAGTTAGAGTATTTGGAATTTTTCTTGTTTCATGTTGTAGGCCTGTATAGCTATAAACTTCCCACCCGGAATTGCTTTGCTGCATTCCATAAATTTAATTATGCCTTCAACTTCATTCTCAAGACAGCTTTTCACTTTCCCATTAATCCATTGATTGTATAGAAGCTGGTATTTAGTCTCGACATATTTGTATTTTTTCAGTTCTCTTCCTGTGAGTGATTTTTAGTTTTATGCTACACTGTGTTTCAAAAAGTTGCTTGACATGATTCAATCTTTTTTGAATTTATTGCGCTTTGTTTGGGAGGCATAATATATGATCTATCTTGAAGAGTATTCTATCTGCACTTGAAAAAAATGTGTACTTTTCAGTTTTAGATGAAATGTTCTATAAATGTCTATTAACTCAATTGGGTTAATGTGAGACTTAGATTTTTTTAAATAATGTGAGATATTATTTCTTTAATTTTCTGTCTGGATGGTCTGTTCCTTGATGTGAATGCAGGTATTAAAAACCTTTACTATTATTGTATTACTGTGAATTTCTCCCTTTGAAGACACTTAATATTTGCTTTCTATGTTTAGGCACTCCTTCCTATATTGGGAACTCACTGTGCATACTAGGCCTGACGTCTGTGTCCTTCCCCACGTTAGGAATGTTTTCAGCTATTATAAAGTTTCTGTGCCATTCCTTTTCTTCTGAGAGCCTTACAATGCAAATGTTAGTACATTTGATGTTGTCCTAGAGATCCCTTAAGGTCTCCTCATTTTAAAAAATATTTTTCTTTTTGCTGTTCTTAGTGGTTGATTTCCACTAGTGTGTCTTACAGGTCACTGATTCTTCTGTTTCAGCTAAACTGCTGTTTGATTTCCACTAGTGTGTCTTACAGGTCACTGATTCTTCTGTTTCAGCTAAACTGCTGTTAATCCCTTCATTTTTTTGTTTCAGTGGTTGCATTCTTCAACATACTTTCTCTGTGTTGCAAGTTCTCCCTAAGTTTCTCTAAAGTTTGATAAGCATCCTTATTACTGTCTCTTTAAATTTATCAGGCAAAATACATCTCTTCATTTGAGAGGTATTCTTTTATGTTTTGTGTCATTTCCTATGTTTGTTAATATCAATTAGACAAAATAACGCTCTCCCTGTCTTGACAAAGTGGCCAGTGTAGACTTGACCTCTGTGCAGGCTGTGTAAGGGTTGTTGGCTGGGTACTTGGAACCATGTAGATGCCTACAGTGCCTGCAGATGCCTACAGGCCTACGGAGATGGAGAGGCTCTAAGTGGGGAGGGCAGGTGTGTGCCCTAGTGATTCTGTTTCCTCCCTTTGGTTCAGATAATTCTGAAAATGAGATGCAGTAAACGTGCAAGTAGGCCCAAGCACCTAGACAGAACTCCCGCCCACTCTTTCGAGGTGTGCAGATATACAGCGGTGCTCACTGGACACTCCAACCTCAGGAATCCCATACTGCTCCTGCAGCTCATCTTCTCTACTAAGTGCCTCTCCTTTCATTATATAAAAAATGGTCTTGTGTACAAGTGAGTAGCTTGTGAGTGCTGGGTAGTGTTGACAAGCTAGTAGAGCCAGGCAGGCACATAGGGCTCTAGACTGTCAGGATGGAAGAGTTCCGATCAGGGATACCTTGTTCATACTGCTTACTGCTTTTATTTGGACCCAAACTGGGCTCCAGGGAGCACGGTTGAGAACACACTGCAGCCATCTTGCTGGTGGGCCAAAGCACCCAGAAAGAGCTCCCCATCGCCTTATCGAGGTGGAGGGCGGCAATGTGTACGATGGAGCTTACCTGCACCTCCTCTCAAAGATTCCCTGCGGATTCGGGAGAGCCCCTGTGGTTGCCCATTTCTCTACTTGGTCTCCTTTCTTTTGTTCTATGAGCCCTCAGTTGCCTATTGGAAGTTACTGCTCTCTATTGCGGTGCATATTTTGATGAGCTTGTGGGAGGAGGGGAGTTCAGTGTGCACCTATGCCACATAGTAAGTCCGAAGAAGGGCAATTGTGCTCCTAAATCATCATAAATACAAGTTTACATCAAATCCATTTTGTGCCAGGCTTAAATAGCAATTTGGGATTATCTGTGCCTGGTGTCCTGTTTCCAGTTACCCCTACCAAAGGGGAAGAAACTGCATGCATTTTACAGTTCTGCAAAGGAGTTTGTTTCCAAGGCAACCTCAACCAGTTTGCAGGAATGGGGAACACAAAGACACTGATCATTAAACAGTGCTAAGAATATACTATAAGTCTTTAATTTTAAAAAAGAAAGCAAGGCAAAAAGCAAGGCAAAACTAAGTATTATATCAATTATCTTTAAGAAATCTCTAGGGGTCTTATAAAAATCTAATTATCTTAAGCAAGAGAAAAATTTGCCTATAAACCTAATTGTATTTTCTCAAATTGGAAGTATATTGGCACATCAATAATAGTCTTCACCCAGGCCCAGTAGCATCATATAGGGCTAATCAGAAATGGAATTTCAGATCAGTTATGTTACTGAACATTGAATCCGGGGCTATAATGCTCAGATACTTCTTCAGCTTTAAAAGAACCTTTAATTGATAGTTTGATTCAAACTTGTTTAAGACTCTAAGTATTATTATGTAGTGACGTTTTAAACAAAGAAAAGTGAGGGACAATGCTATATTGCTTTGGAAATTATTTCTACACAAACCTTTTGGTATTGTAAAAGTACTTCCTACTCAGGCTGATATGCATGGGTAATTAAAAAAATACTGATACTACTGAAAGGGAAATAGCATGTATTCTATAAATATAAGATTCAAATGAAGGCATTGCAAGTACTTAAACCCAATGATTAATATAAGAAAAAATATATATCATAAAATCATGAATATCAAAAGTCTGAAAATTATTGGTTTGAGCATCATTCTGTACACCAAAAAATTGCAGGTTTGATTCCCAGTCAAGGCACATACGAGAGGCAAATGATCTCTCTCTAAAAATCAAACATACCTTCAGGTGAGAATTTAAAAAAAGTATTGCTTTAATTTCAAAGCTGTTTCCAAAGTAATTGGGAAGAATAGGTACTTTGAAATTTGATTTTTAATTAATCTTGGTCTGTACTCCAGAATTTATTCTCTTTCATTAAAATTATAAATTATTTCATTAGACATAAGTTTGTTTAAAAACCCTGAAACCTTAGAAGGATTTATACATTTTCATTTTCTAAGTTTCCCATATTTTTTTCATAAATACAAAGACAGATGTAAAGTTAATGAGGTGCCTTATAAAGCTTACCCCTCTCAGCAAGTTTAACCCCATCAGTTTTTCTGCAACCTAGTAAATTAAGAGAACATAAGAGGGAAATCAAATAGTGTTGCTTTTAATTCCTAAGTTTATCTTGTATAAATAACTTTAAATGAAAAAAAATCAAATTGAATATTTGATTGATGGCATCTACGTTGCGTCTTCCAACTACTTAATAAAAACAAATGGTATGTTTCATAAAAAGGTTCCAGTGAATATACCTGTCAACATTTCCACAGTGAGCAATTTTAAATTTAATCCTGGCCACCAGCCTAATTTGGAATGTAGGGCTTACCTAATTTGGAATGTAGGGCTTATCTACAGTAGGGAAGGTCCCATCATGGTCCATGATTTGTTGCAGAACTGAAACCCCAAATCACACAGAAATGTTTCTTAACAGACATATAGCTGAAGCAGCTCTACAGATTTCTCTTGTTACAATGATAGTAAGATAGTAACAGTCACTGTAAATATTTTCAGTAAAGAAATGCAATTCTGATGGCACAGTTATGTAGGCACATTGGGGGGGAAAAAAGCATGCAATACAGAGTGTAAACACAAGCTGCACAAAAAGTACGTCAAGAGTGAGCGGCACCAATGTGTTCAAGAAACGTGCGTTACGTTACCCTTTCTTCTTCTTCTTTTGAAGATACACACAGCAGCCAGCAATGAGTCCCAAGAAAACACCTACAATAAGCCAGAGAACAAATGTAATTGAAAACTAATCACCAAGATTCAAAACCTAGCAGGAAAAATTAATGCTCAGTGGGCAGAAAATGCTATTTTATTTAAGCACATTGCCCTGGCAACTCACCTGTTCCATCTGGACTCTTCACTATCTAAGTGCAAATCTCTGGAATTATTTAGTCCTCAGCAAGCCAGAGAAGAGTCCTTTCCTAATTTACTAAGATATCCAAAGCATATTTAGGATGCAAACTCATATGACTAATCATCTTGAAAAAACATGTATTATTTAGGATTTGTGGCTAAGTGGACACATAGAATATAAATGAATATATAACAGCAATACAAGGCAGTATCTATATTATAAAAAGCCAGTAACTGAACGCCGTAACCAGAAGTGCATTGCTGGGTCTCTGGTATCATTTAAAAGGTGAGGTGTTGCCCTGACCGGTTTGGCTCAGTGGATAGAGTGTCGGCCTACGGACTGAAAGGTCCCAGGTTCAATTCCGGACAAGGGCATGTACCTTGGTTGAGGCACATCCCCAATAGGGGGGGTACAGGAGGCAGCTGATGGATGTTCCTCTCTCATCAATGTTTCTAGCTCTCTATCCCTTCCTCTCTGTAAAAAAAAAAAAAATCAATAAAATATATTTTAAAAATAAAATGTGAGGTGTTTGACTCGTTTACTTAATGTAAAACTATAAAAACTGTAGAAATTGAAACACTGTTATACAAATAATGCTCTTCACATTAATACTTTAAGTGGGATCCAAGATGGGACACTTACATACAGCAATAACAATCACAGCAATGACTCCACCACCTGCGAAAATAAAACCAGTTTGAAGATAACTGAGCACATATGGGTCTCCAGGTGGCAATTACATTTTACTTAATCAAATCATCTATAAACTACAGCAAAAAAAAAAGAAAGTTTAGGAGTCTAGTTTGGTGCAACTGTGCATCCAGCTCATTTGAGCACTGAGCCCTTCTAATCAGATTCCAGGCTTAGGGCCCAATACTGTTTTGTGCTGTAGCTACCACACTAGGTTATTAGTAAATATTAGAACAAATACAATTCACTAGATTAGTGGGAAAATCATTTTAAAAATCTATTATTTTATCTTAGTTTATATAGTTCAGTATTCAGTCTACCATTTCTTATGACTTTATTACATCAACAGTGGTGGGCCTGGGGAATAAGTCATAAAAAGTTCTATTAATTTATTACAGAAATTTAGTATGTTGAATCTTCACAAATAATACATTATTTTATCATCATTCCTTCCTCATGCATACCCACTTCAAATTAAGACATAATAAGGGGATTCTAAGAATGCAAAAGAAACACCAGGGCACATGGGTAAATTTTTTTTTTTTTAATATATTTTATTGATTTTGTACAGAGAGGAAGGGAGAGAGATAGAGAGTTAGAAACATCGATGAGAGAGAGACATCGATCAGCTGCCTCTTGCACACCCCCTACTGGGGATATGCCTGCAACCAAGGTACATGCCCTTGACCGGAATCGAACCCGGGACCTTTCAGTCCCCAAGCCGACGCTTTCTCCATTGAGCCAAACCGGTCCCGGCCATATGGGTAAAATTTTGCTTAGAAACTTAAACAATTATTTTTGACTATCAAGAATGCAATAATTCTACAAAATCTTAATTATATCTTAAATTTATATAAGTCAAAACATACAATGTCTTTTTTTTTTTTTTTTTTTTACCTCTCCGCTTTTTATCTCATTAAAAAAAACTGTCAAGTGTTTAATGAATGAAGGTGCTTTGGATTTACTGGCACAGTGACAGTTTGACCACAGTGTTCAGAGGGGAAACTTAACCGGCCTAAACATGTGTTTTATAAAAAGACTAACCTTACTAAATTAGTCTAATGTAAAGAAAAGTAATACACGTTTTTCTTCATTTATTCATCAAAAAACCATATACTTCATTTAAATGCAACAACTATAATGATCATTTTCTTGAACATATATTGTGTGAACTATTTGAGTCTACATAAAGTATGATACACTATCTTTGTTATGAATAAAAAAATTTACCCAACTCACAGTACGTTAAGGCTTGTGTATGCAAGGTATGAATAGAAAGAAAACTTACCTACCAATTGCCATCACAAAATGACACTATCACATGGAAAGAAAGGTATAGCCTACAAATTTTAACCTATAAATACAGCATTTGAGAAAGTTACCTCACCTCAAAAGGAATCCTCTTAAAACTATATTAATTATATGTGTCTACACCTACTACTGTTTAGATTTGTCATGGTATCTACACTATTACTAGTAAAATTACCAAATGTTAATTCTCACACATTAGTGATAGGTTATACTTTCTCATACTATAGATAATCGAAATATATTTCCATGTAGGACATTAAAATCACACACTGCAGAGCATTACTAAAATAATACCTAATGATTTAGATGGTGTTTCACCAGGAACAGGAGTAAAATCTGTTAGAAAAAAGAAAAAAAGGAAATAAGTAAAAAGAGAAAGAAGACTTATTACAAAGTTTAAGACCTCTAAATTTTAAGTTTAAAATTTTTACCTTTGAGAATAAAACCCTTACAATTTTATTTTCTTCACAAAAATTATAAGTTTCTTTTCCAAATATCATAAAATATTATAAATTTATATTCAATGTCACCAGAATTATTCTTCCTGTCCAGTAACATTTCCTATGATAATATTCTTTGATAAAAGTAATTAAATTTATCATTAGATTAACATCAAAATTAGCCTATGGATTGATGTGATTCTACATAAAATTAAAAGACTTAGGGCCTGGCTGGCGTGTCTCAGTAATTGAGCTTCCACCTATGCACCAGGAGGTCATGATTCCATTCCCAGCCGGGGAAAATGCCCGGGTTATGGGCTCAAACCCATGTGGGGAATGCAGGAGGCAGCCAATCAAGGATTCTCTCTCATCACTGATGTTTCTATCTCTCTCCCCCATCCTTTCTAAAATCAATTAAAAACAAACAAACAGGAAGGCTTAAAAGGATTTAGAAATTAATCTATAGAAGAAGGAAATTTCCACATAATAAAGGCCACTTATGAAAAACCAATAGCTAATATTATACTCAAAAGTAAAGGAATGAAAATTTTCCCTTTAAGATCAGGAACAAAATAGGGTGCCTGCATTTCCTACTTCTACTAAACATCATATTGGAAGTTTAGGCCAGAGAAATAAAACAAAAAATATATAAATAACCAGCACCTAAATTGGGAAGGAAGAACTAAAATTCTCTTTGCAGATACTTTTACATAGAAAACTCTAAAAATTACACACACAAACATAAACCTGTTAAAACTAAAAAATAAATTTCAGCAAAAGCTGCAGGCTACATAATGTGCACCCCCAAATCAGTTGCATTTCTAGACATTAAAAATGAACAATCCAAAAGGGAAATTATGAAAATTCCATTCACAAAAGTGTCAAAAATAAAATACTAAGAAACTTAAGCAGGAGAAAGACTCCTACACTAGAAACTATAAAACACTACTGAAGAAATAGAAGATGACATGGATAAATAGACATCCTGAGCTAATATTACAAAAAGTAACCCACAGGTTACATGCATCCTCTATCACCACCTTGAATATATATTCTTCAGAATTACAAAATCCAATTTATAATTGAACCCAGGACTCCTCAGTCCATGGGTTGACACTCTATCCACTGAGCCAAACCAGGTAGAGTCTAATTTATATTATAAATCCAAGGATCTAAAAATTGCCAAGACAATCCTGAAACAACAAAAAACACAGCATCGTTTAGAGGACTCCAATTTCCTGATTTTAAAACTTACTAAAAAGCTACAAAAATCAAAACACAGTGGTACCGGAATAAAGACAGAAACCAAATGAATAGAAACCCAGAGATGAACCCTCACATAATATGGTCAAACGTGCACAAGGATGCTAAGGATATCTAAAGGGGAAAAAACAGTCTGTGAACATGTGGTTCTTGGAAAACAGGATATCTACATGCAAAGAATGGAGCTGGTCTCCTGCCTTTTATCATATACAAAAATTTATGCAAAATGGATCAAAGAACTAAGCATAAGAGCTAAAACAATAAAACACTGATAACAAAACTTAGAGGACACGCTTCAAGATTTTGGATCTGGCCATGTAACAGCAAAAACCCAGGCAACAAAAGAAAAACTAATGGATATATGAGACTTCATCAAAATAAAAAACTTTTATCAATGACCATTGATAGAGCAAAATATGGCATACATTAAAGTCATCATTAAAAGGATGGGAACAAGTCTTACTACAAACCCCAATCTTTAAAAAAATATATATACCTTAATTTTTTAATATATCGATTTCAGAGAGGAAGGGAGGAAAGAGAGAGTGAGAAAAACAACAATGATGAGAGAGCACTATTGATCGGCCATCCCGTTTGCCCTACCCTGGGGATGAAGCCTGAAACCCAGGCATGTGTCCCGACCTGGAATCGAACCATGACCTCCAAGTTCATTGGTCGATGCTCAACCGCGAACCCTAACCCAATTTAAGATGGTAAGTGTAAAAAGTACTTGAAAAATATGAACAGCATGATGCCATTTTTGTGCAAGATAAAAGAAAAATTGCCAAAATATGTAGAGATCTACACATACAAGATATTGAGGTATAGGAACAGATGCAATGGACTAAGAGAAGGAGACTCTAACTCTATAATGTTTCAAATTTATATTCATACACTAAACTACTTATGTAATTGAAAGTAGTGTAAAATCTTAAAAGAAAACTGGTAAAAATAACGGGGAGGGGAGAGGCAACTAGAAAAAAAATATTCCCTTCAGGTAAAAGGGGCTTTAATTAAAAAAAAAAGTTCTGATAAATTAACACAAATAATTCAGAAACCTAACAGAACAAAGAACATGACAGTAATTTAAACCAAAAAAAAAAAGCTTATCTGATAAAGGAATGCAAATTAATACATAACATGAAAATGTTCCACCCATCATTTTTATAAACGTAACAATAGAAGTAGAACAAGAGTTTTTGAACCTGGACTACTTGAAACTGGAGGCTTGGTTGGTGGACTAGGCTTGACACCTGGAAAAATAAATTTTGATTCCATTCACCAGCCTTATCAATATATTATGGATTTAATTTCTATTTATAAAAATGTTAATTAGTCATTACCATAAAAAGTACAGTTACTTTCTGAACTTTGCAATTCTACTTCTGGGCACTTAACCTAAATACATATTTAAAAAATACATAACAATGTATGCATAACAATCTTCACTACAGCTTTGTATTTTGCAATGGAAATCACGTTATTTAATAGTAAAAAAAAAAAAAAAGGTTCAGAATTAACATTTGTATCTTATTATTTTTTAAAGTATGTTTTTATTGATTTTTAGAGAAAGAGGAAGGAAGGAGAGAAAGAAACATGGATATGAGAGAAACATCGGTCAGTTGCCTCCCGAACACATCCCGACAAGTGGGTTGAGCTCGCACCCTGGACATGTGCCCTGACCAGGAATCGAACTAGCAACCATGTAGGTGCTTGGGAGGATGCTAAACCAACCCAGCCACACCAGCAAGGGCTACATCTGTATCTTTAAAAAAAAAAATAATTATACCATTCAAGCAGCATTAGGCTACAGTACATCATTTCTATCCTTTTCTTTTCTCTCAGTACTACTTGTATATTTTTCAATATGAGCAGAATTAGAGCTACTTTATCACTATCACATGTTACTAATGATTCTTTAATAACAAAATATATTTTACAGGCACATAAATAATTTTGATTTTTGATATTTAAACTGATGAACTGAGTGGATCCAGAGACATGGAAGCATGGAACAGAACCTCAGAGGGAAGGCGGGAGAGGGTGAGTGGGTGGGAAGTAATCAACCGAAGACTTGTATGCGTATACACTATGCATAACCATGGACACAGACAATTGGGTGCTGAAGGCCTGGCGCGGGAGTGACAGGAGGGGGTCCATGGGAGGAAAAAGTGGACATATGTAATACTTTCAACAATAAAAATTAATAAAATAATAAAACCTCTAGTTTAGAAACTCCTTACAATCAATTTGCTCCTCTTCTTTCAAATGCTAAATGGTAAACGTGTTTTATAAGCCCTTTATGAATTCTCATGGTCAACTCATTCAAAAGAGCATATCAACAAACAGTATCCCACAGTGCATATACATGTGAGTAAACACGGTGGGTCAGTGAGTATACACTTCACATGCAAAAACCATTTCTTCTCACTCCACCCCCCAAACCTCACAGCGCTCAACCGAGATCAAGGGGCCAGATCTACAGGAATTATAAAAAGGTGTTCTAATGACCATATTAACATGCATAACTTCCCTCAATTTTTAGTCTTAGGAAAACAGAAAATATACAAGCAAATTGAAAGCCAATGATTGAGATTTGAGTTCAACACCCTCCTTAACCAACAGGAAATTAAAGCCCACGGAAATGATGCTCCAGGAGTAAGCAGAACCAATGGAGGGCCCTGAGTGAGGTCAGCCCAGGCCAGTGGTTGGCAAACTCATTAGTCGATAGAGCCAAATATCAACAGTACAACGATTGAAAAATTTTTTGAGATGAAAACTGACTTCTGTGCATGGGCCACGAAGTTTCAATTGCAATGTATGTGCGCACCCACACGTGGTATTTTCTAGAAGAGCCACACTCAAGGGGCCAAAGAGCCGCATGTGGCTCGTGAGCCACGGTTTGCTGACCACCGGCCCAAGCTAATGCTCTTCCACTACTGCCCCTGCCTCTTGGTCCTGCTGAAACCAAAGAGAAACCAGAGAAAGCAGCACTGAACTCAGGAAGACAGCTCCTCCCACCGCATGAAAATAATCTCTCAAGTCTTACGCTGAGTGGCTGATGATAGTCCCTGCAACAAGTCCTCCATTTCATTTCAGTACCTACGTTTTCCTCTCTATTTCAGTTGCTATGAAATTTAGCTTCTATTCCCAAGTGAAAATGCTAGTGAATCCCTGGCCCAGTGGTTACAACATGCTCCCATATCTCCTTGGTCGGCAAACTGCGGCTATGGAACCATATGCAGCTCTCTGGCCCCCATGGCCTGGGTGAGTCTATTTTAAAGAATTGGTGTGAGAAGAAGTTTAAAAAATTTGGCTCTCAAAAGAAATTTCAATCGCTGTACAGTTGATATTTGGCTCTGTTGACTAATGAGTTTGCAGACCACTGGCCATATCCCAAAAGGTTGCAGGTTTACTTCCCAGTCAGGGCACATACCTAGATTGTGGGATTGGTTCACGGTTGGCTTGCATATGGGTGGCAACCAATTCATTTCTCCTTCTTTCTCTCTCTCAAATCAATAAACATGTCCTCAGGTAAGAATTAAAAAATAAAGAGGGGGGGGAGGGGAGCCAGTAAAGGCAAAAAGAATAGTATGAGATGAGAGTGGAGGGTAGTAGCAATTCGGGTCTTTTCTAGAGACACCGCCCGGAAAGCACCAGTTGAAATTGCACTAGAAAAGGAATGAAACTATTTGCAGTCCAGGAAATTAAACTTTGTCCTGGATCAGGAAGACACCCTGTAAAGGCGTCACCGGATAGATCACTTTTAAAATGGATGAAATAGCAACGGTGATGACGGAAAACAAACACATTAAAGAACAGAAGCCATGGGTCTCCTTGTTCACTGACTTACTGCAGTGATGCTGTTAGGGCATACAGCTGCCTTTAAGAACTTCCTGTAAGCCACATACTGTGCTAAATGCTTGAACGGATCCCACTTAATGGTTCCCACCATCCAGGGAGGTAGGTATTGAACAATCTTACTTATAAATAAACACACTCAAAGTTTACATAACGTGCCAAGTTAACAGAGCTGTTTTTAGCTGAGGACCATGGCAAATAAGTTTAGAATCATTAAGTAGAACAACTAGAATGGCTTCGTTCTTTCGTTACTAAAATGGATAAATGAGTGTAAATCATCAGATAGCTAAAGGATTATGAAAAAAATATCTGGGAATTGAAATGATTTTGAAAAATCACCAGGAATTTGAAAGGTTTTGAAAAATATAAGTAGGAAGTTACTAAACCTGTGACACTGGAAATTGGAGGTTTTGTGCTGGGAGGAGTTGACACTGGAAAACAAAATAATGTAGAGTGGATCAAGTTACTTGGGAGTTATCGCCGGCACTAGCACCAATAATTCAAAAGAGTTTTGAAAATGTAAGCAGGATGTTACTAAACCTGAAGGACTCAAAATCGGAGTTGTGGTACTGGGAGGAGGAGGAGGCACCACTGGAAAAGAAAATAATTTCGACTGGATTAACCACTTAGAAATTATGGTCTTTTCATTCTTCATTCTTAACTTATTTAGATGTAAAATACCCATGTTTCAATTTTCTTACAGATGGCTGCTATACATACAGTTTTACACATAAAATCAAAGACAAATTTATAACCTGTGTGATATACAAAACGTGCCAACCCTATGAAAATACAGAACAACAGAATTCTTTGTGACTTTGTGTCATGTTAAGACATAAGTACTAATACTCAATTACTCTGTCATTTATATTTCAAAGAAATAAAACCCAAACAGGACAAGAAAGTAGAAGACACTCTTTGTACCTTTAACACAGCGAGGCTTCTCGGGTACCCAGGTGGCATTAGCTTCACAGACAATTTTGGGGCTGCCTTCAAGGGAATAATCCTCATTGCATTTAAATTCAACCTCATCTTTGTAGTAAAATTTTGTTCCAAATCCTGACACAAGCTCTCCATTAAGGACTGATGGAAATTCACATCTGACCACTGAAACGTGAAGAAATTTCAGAATTAATGGAAAGCTGTTTTAGCCTCAGAGACAAAACCTAGTGCAAGGTAGTCATTTCCACTGTGAACAGGCAAGGAATGGAAGGCAGGATATTAATCTTCTTAAAAAAACAAACTTTATTTTTGCATTTTAATTCCTGGCAGTAAATAGATTTCACGCAGTCCAGTCATCTTTTCCCACCTAGAACAGACTGTCATTAGGTTCACTGGCTTTCCTACACCCCTCCCTCCCCGCCTCCCCCCATCCATTAATGACAGGTTTTGAGAAAGGTCTGCCTACCAGGAACACTTTCCTAGTTAAGTTCAAACACAGCCTTTTGATGCTCTTCAGCCCTAGGGCTTTGTTAAAATTTCATGCTGACACAGAGTACAGTGCCCTACTTTTGTACAAAGGCAGGAGAGACTCTTGTGATGAGAAAATGCTTCGGCTCAAACGTGAAAGTTGGAAAGAAGCTGGCTCTGCAAAGAGGCAGAAAGTTCTCAGGTACTGCCAACATACAAGACCTGGGATGTTCAAGAAAGGGAAAGGCCAATGGAGTCAGGGCAGTGTTTCCATGCATTTCTTTTAATCCAACCCAGAAGCCAAAAACTCCATTGCAAACCAGTATATAATCCTACAGACTTGAGATAAAGTTAAAAGTTAACCATTACACTTCATACTAGTGTATATACCCTGGTATTTTCCATTGTACTCTACTTCTCAAGAAGAACCTTCTAGATTGGTCAGGACCTTCTAGATTGATTTCAGGATCCAGTAGTGGGCTTGGCAGAATTTGAAAAAAAACAGAACACCGACTGGCAGTAAGTACAGAGAGCATCTAAAGAGAGTAAACCGGAAGCTGGCTCTTCCTCCTTGCATGTGGACCTGAATTTCCATCCGGTATATTTTCCCTTCAGCCTAAAGAACTTCCTGAAGCAATTCTTATAGTGCAGGTAGGGTGGTGACAATTAGCTTTAGTTTATCTTAAAATGTTTTTCTCTCACCTTCAGTTTTAAGATTTCTCCTTAAAAGATGAAGGGATTCAGAAGCACCAATTGGCAGTTACAAAACAGTCACAGGGATGTCAAGTACAGCATAGGGAATACAATCAGTACACCTATCCTATATAATAAAAGTGTGATATGCTAAGTGTCCGACCCATAGATTGACCATTCAACCTACTGCTTGACCCTTCACTATGGTGAGCACTAACCACCAGGGGACAGATGCTCAGACCAGTAGGTTAGCAGTATTTATCCTTGACAGAGATTTCTAGGAGTCCTGTTTTATTTTTTTTTCAGCACTTTAGATGTTATTGTCTTCTAGTTACAAGTTGTTTAAGAGAAGTCAGCTGTCACTCTTAGAGGGATGAGGTGAATGTAAGATGGTGTTTTTTTGTTTTGTTTTTTAATAAGTTTTTATTGTTCATATTATTACAAATGTTCCTTCCCCCCCCCCCCCCACCATTGCTCTCCCTCCACCAGGTTCCCACCCCACCCTCTGCCCTTTCCCCACTCCCCATTGTCCTCATCCATAGGTGCACAGTTTATGTTCAGTCTCTTCCCACATCCCCCTCTCCCCTTTTCTCTAAGAATCGTCAGTTCACTCCCCTTCCATACCTCTGATTCTATTATATTCAACAATTACTATTGTTCATCAGATTTTTTTAATTTCCTTGGTTTTTAGATTCACTTGTTGATAGTTACGTATTTGTTGTTCATAATTTTTATCTTTATTTACTTTCTCTTCTGAAAGAACCCCCTTCAGCAATTCATATAATTCTGGTTTGGTGTTGATGAACTCCTTTAGTTTTTTTTTTATTAGTGAAGCTCTTTATCTGACCTTCGATTCTGAGTGATAGCTTTGCTGGGTAGATTATCTTTGGCTGTAGGTTCTTACTATTCATTACCTTGAATATTTCTTGCCATTCCCATCTGGCCTGCATGGTTTCTGTTGAGAAATCAGCTGACAACCGAATAGGTGCTCCTTTATAGGTAACTACCTTCTTTACTCTTGCTACTTTTAATATTCTTTGTCTTTTGCTCTTGGAATTTTAATTATGATGTGTCTTGGTGTGGTCCTCTTTGGATTCCTTTTGTTTGGAGTTCTGTGCGCTTCCTGGACTTGTAAGTCTAATTCTTTCCCCAGGTGGGGGAAGTTTTCTGTCACTATTTCTTTCAGTATGTTTTCGATATCTTGCTCTCTCTCATCTTCTGGACCCATAATTCTGATGATGGTTCGCTTGAAGTTGTCCCAGAAGTTTCTTACATTATCTTCAATTTTCTGGATTCTCTTGCCTTCTAGTTTCTGTGGAGGAGTGTCTTCTGGCTCTTAATGTTCCAAATCTTTGACTTGATTCTTGTGATCTTCCATTCTGTTTTTAGGACTCTGTATAATATTTTTTATTTCAGACAATGTATTCTTTATTTCTTGTTGATCCCTTATCATTTCTTATTGACTCCTTATTAATTCTAGTTGATCTTTTTCATATCCTCATAAGTCTTATCAATGTTTTCTAGGAAATTCTTGAAAAACCTTATAAGCATAGATTTGAACTCTATATCCAAGTCGCTTTTTGTCCTCCATTTCTTTCGTTTGTGATCTATTTTGTTGTTGCATTTCGCAGTTACAGATGGGACAGGATTTCAGGGTGGAGCCTACAGCCTTGGCTTCCGTCAGCCCCGTCCTATGCGGTTCCTGGGTCTCAGGGTCCTTCAGAACTCGCTGCAAAGCGCCACTGAGAGATAGGTGCCCTTGATTTTCGCCTGCTGCCAAACAGTCTAGGCTCTCCCCCAATGAGCCTGGTATTGGGGTTCAGTTTAGTTGGAAGTGGAGTTGGAGGTGGCGTTCAGAGCAGACTGGAGCCCCAGTCTCCTTCCGGCCAGGGCAATCCCGCAGCACAGCCGACCGTCCCTTCTCTGGGCGCAATGTGCGCACCGCCGGGACCTCCTTTCGTCACTTCCCCGGGGTTCCGCCTTACAGCCCAGCTCCCTATGGATGAGCCTGGGTCCCCGGGGTCTGGCCTAGAACTGGGGTTCAGAGCAGTCAGAACTGGGGCCCAACACAGTCGGAGTTTTATTTCCTTCCCGCTAGGGAACACCAGCCAGGCACTAGGCCTCCCTCCTCTCTGGCTCCGTCCTCTCTGCGCGCTGCTAGTCTCCGTACCTTGGGCTTTTACAGCTCCTCCGCGCTTCCTTCTGGTTTTCTCCTTGCTTCTCGTTGTAGAATTTCCAGTCAGTCGACTTTCCTGTAGTTCTGGGTAATGTCCATTTTATATTTTAGTTGTATTTTATTGAAATTATTGTGTGCGGCTGCGGCTAGGTGTTTACCTGGGTGCAGCCATTTTGGATCCTCCTGATCAATCTGGTGGTGTTTTCCCCCTCTCACTGGCTACTTCTGCTTTTTTGTTTTCAGAAGTTTTAACATGATTGGTTACTTCAGCAGGGGGTTCTTGGTAAAATTTCAAAATTAATTTATTCTGCTAGGGCAGTGGTCAGCAAACTGAGGCTCGTGAGCCACATGCGGCTCTTTGGCCCCTTGAGTGTGGCTCTTCCACAAAATACCACGGCATGGCATTAGAAGAAATTTAAAAAATGTGGCTCTCCAAAGAAATTTCAATCGTTGTACTGTTGATACTTGGCTCTGTTGACTAATGAGTTTGCTGACCACTGTGCTAGGGTCACTGAATTTCCTGGACTAGTGGTGTGCTTGTTTTGGATCAAATGTGGATAATTATTCAAATAATCATCTATACCATCGGTTCTCAACCTGTGGGTCAAAACCCCTTTGGGGGTCGAATGACCCTTTCACAGAGGTCGCCCAAGACCATCGGAAAACACAGATATTTACGTTATGATTCATAACATAGCAAAATTACAGTTATGAAGTAGCAACGAAAATAATTTTATGGTTGGGCATCACAACATGAGGAACCATATTAAAGGGTCCAGGCATTAGGAAGGTTGAGAACCACTATACTCTCTTTCTATCCTACAAAAACATGCATATTTGACTCCTATTCTCCATTCATATTTGACTGCCCTGTTTCCCTGAAAATAAGACAGTGTCTTATATTAATTTTTTCTCGCAAAGTTGCGCTAGGTCTTATTTTCAGGGGATGTCTTATCTTTCCATGCGCTAGGTCTTACTTTCGGAAACTGTCTTATTTTCGGGGAAACACGGTAGTAGTTCCCTAGGTTGTAAGTCTTCCTCTCTATATATATTAAAAATGATTTATTTCAAATCATTTGGTAGGTTTCTATTGTTCTCACTTGAAGTTCACTGATCTATTCTGTTGTGCTGAGCTGATATTAACCACAGAAATTATTTCTGTAAGTTAGAATTGGTGGAAATAACTTATATAGGTTAAAACTCATCCTTATAAGTGCTCAGCTGAATGAGGTTTCATCGACACAAATACAAACCATGTACCTATCACCACAATAAAGACATAGAAAAGTTCTAGTACCTCCAATGTTCCTTCATGCCACTTCGTAATAAACTCTCCCCGTCCCCATTCCCCCAAGCACCTCCCACCAGCTAACCATTGATCTGTTTTCTATCCCTATATTGTTTCTTTTTCAGAATGTCAGAATGGGATGACAGCCTCTGAGTACAGCTCATTTCACCTAGCATAATGCATCTGAGATTGATTCACTTCTGTACTTGCAAGATCAAATGCTCAATCCTTTACATTGCAGAGCATTCTCCCATTACATGGATGCACCATGGTTGTTCGGCCATTCACCAACTGAAAAAGGTGGGCTGTTTCCCATGTGAGGCGATTATGAGTAAGACTGCTATGAATATTCTCATAATTGGGTTCTATCTGAACATTAAAAGATTTACTTGGATTGCTGAGTTGTATGGTGAGTGCATGTTTAACTTTATAACAAATCATCAAATGCTTTCTAAAGTTCACATACCACTTTGCATTCCTAACTTGCAATGTATGAGAGTTCTAATTACTCCATATATTTTGAAATGGTATGGTTGTTAC